AATGGCAGGTTGTCTCCCTTAGCTACAGGTGGGCACTACAGTATTGGAGACCAAGATTTGAAGTCTTAGAACTGAGCAGCACTTTCTGATTAGGAACAAAATTGTCAATGAGAAATAATTGTCTAAATACCTATTTATCTGGACTTAAGCTTAATGTCTGGGAAGTGTAATCCCTTGAACTCTCAAAGAAATTTACTGTCGACTTTACTCTTTGGTTATACTTTCCTTTTTGGTGTTTAAGACCATACAGTTAGTCCAAATAAATCAATCAATTTTTACACTTAAGGTTACCTGAAGATCTGTTCCTCAGGGGTCACATGGGCTTAGGAGGAGCTCCTGGATCCTTTCTTTTATCAGTTCCATCTATGTAAAGATAAGTCAAAGGTCCTGCTCGAGCATGTCTGGTTCACTTGGAAGCATGGAGGAAATGATTCCTCTGAGCTGACCCTCCTCTCTGTAGACTGGACACTGGTTCAAGTCCATTTTCTGGGGTCTCCATGTCCTCCCTGAACAAGAAGACAGGTGACTCACCACAGTTACAGGACATTTTGAGAGATGTTCCATAGTCCCCTGGATCTTAGTCAACCTTGGAGTGCAAAGGGCAAAAACTGGAGTGGCATATCTTCAAGTAACATAATGCCTCTGTTCTCTGACAGACAAACGCCATCTTCCTGAGCTCAGCTGTGCCACTTGCCTAAGATCATAAAAGTTGGGCTTGCTGACTGTTCACTCTCCCATATCCCCAACCCCCCACATGGAACAAGAGTCCAGGCACACCTTCCAACCCATGATTAGCAATTCAGCTCTAATTTCATGTGGCCTGGGGGAGGGCTAGAGTTTATAGGCTGGTGATTATTAGGGGAGGTTCTCTTTCTCACCATTTTGTGCAGCCTTAGGTGGGGAGAACTAATATTCCTATAAGTAAACCCTCACCCACTGCTCTGTAAGTAAGCTCAACAAATTCATTGGCTTCCCAGAGTGCACTTTCGTGGAATCATACCTCAGTATGTAATTGGGACCAAGGGAAGAAGGGATGGATGTTATTTATATCTCTGCCCCATAAGAAGAAATTTTAGCAACAGTCTTTGACTCTTCATCATGACTGTTTGATGACCAACTGCAGTAATCCTTAAAATGTGTCTAAAGACCAGGAGGGAATTTGAACTTGATCTTGATTCTATTACTCATCAGCCACATAGGTGACTTAACCTCCTTTGCCCTGATTTTCTCTGAGGATCAAATAGTGTTTATAAAAACACTGTGACCTCCAGAGGGACATAAAGGACAGTTTCTGCTCCTTGCCTTGCTAGGTCAACTAAGCTCCAGGGGATTATGAGTATCTCTCAAAATGTCCTGTAACTGTAGTGCATCACCTGTCCTCTTGATCAAGGAGGCCATGGAGACCACTAAATGGACTTGAACCAGTGTCCAGTCTATAAAGAGGAGGGCCAACACAGAGAAAACATTTCCTCCATGCTTCCAAGTGAGACCAGCCACGGTTGAGCAGGACCTTTGACTTATCTTCACATAGATGTAACTGGTCAAAGAAAGGAGCCAGGGCTCCTCCCAAGCCCATGTGATCCCTGAGGAACAGATCCTCAAACGATCTTAAGAGTCAAAATAAATTGGTTTATCTGGACCAACTGCTTGGTCTTAAACACCCAAAAGGAAAGTATATTCCAAGTGAGACCAGCCACGGTTGAGCAGGACCTTTGAGTTATCTTCACATAGATGTAACTGGTCAAAGAAAGGAGCCAGGGCTCCTCCCAAGCCCATGTGATCCCTGAGGAACAGATCCTCAAACGATCTTAAGAGTCAAAATAAATTGGTTTATCTGGACCAACTGCTTGGTCTTAAACACCCAAAAGGAAAGTATAACCAAGATTAAAGTGATAAATATAATATTTAAGAGTCCATGTGTATAGCTAAAGGCTACATAACAAGAAACAATGCCAGACAAGAGATACCTTCCTTTGAGTTGTTGGCCAGGGTGGCCTAAGAGATTCCCAGACAGTAACCCAGCATAGAACTGGGAAAATAACAGCAGACCCCAGTGTTATCTAAAGGAATATTGGCAACTAGTTACTGCTGGATGAGGAAGAGCTGATATTCCTAAAACAAGGAACTCTAGATAGGCTGACTAGATTCAGCTGATGGATGAGCACTGGTGAATGGCTGGGGGTGCTGACAACACAGTGGACAGTAACAGGGATGACAGAGCATATGGGCTCCAGTGGGGCGGGGGGTGGGGGAGGCTATGGGAAGGTGCCATTTGGGGTGTGGGTATATAGATGAATAAGATTGTTTGGGATGTTCTGTACGAAATACACACAAAAAATCAACAAATTAAAAAAAGTTATATTTGAGGAAGAAGCATAAAATTT